AGTCGTAGGCACTCATTAAGTGACTGCTGAATGGGTAAACACACAGACACGTGTATAGGAATCTGAGGATTAGAATGCTTGTCATTCAGTGCTTTGTGTCATTATGCTGAAAACCTGCAGTATTCTCGTCTGGGCTTCCTCAGCTCATGGGAGGCACCGAAGGTGAGAGAGAGACGGTGGGGAGAGTGGGGGCATCAGAGGCAGGTTACCTGTCTTCGATCTCCATCCACTGCCCCCTAGTACCTTTACAGTCTTGCTCAAATCACTTAACAGCTTGGATTTGTGAACTTAACTATGTTCAAAATAGTACCCTGTAGGGGCCAGGATTGAATGTGATAGCCATTTGATTTGAAGAACATTCTGATAAACACCCATTATTTGAATTTGGTTCATCTTACTTGCTAATATTTTAATTGATATGTTTTTCTTTTCCCTGGTATTCACTAATTGATTTTATAGACGAGTATAAACAAGGGTTGAACTTGAGGTTAGAATATTAGCATAGTATGGATTTTTGTTCATGGTTAGAATTTTTCAAATTGCGTATTTTACATTCTTCCAGTTATAAATCCACTCCTAATGTGATTTTGGATTTTTATAATTTTTTAAAATTATGAAAGAAATCTCCGGAAACCTTGTTAAAATTTCGTTTTCATACTCTAAAACAGTTCTTAAGATATATTCCATATTTTTTTTAATTTCCAAAAAATTCCTCATTCCTAGGCAGATATTTTTAGTAAGACTCTGACTTCTCATTCGTGCTGTGATAATCACCTAGCTGAATCTCCTTTTGTTCTCCTGAAGATCCAGTGTTCCTATCTTAGATAAACAGAACTAGATTGGCTGAAACACTTATAAAGGGGAGAGAATAAATCAGAAGTGGTTCAGATGTATGGTAAGTATGTGGCCGACATTCAAATGATAATAAATGAGAGTAAGGACGTTTTCATCTCAGTAGCTGGGTAATTGATGTTCTTGGTTCAACAGCCTCACAATGAACAGTAACTGCTCCTAAAGAAGACATAGTAACCCTAATCACAATGCTGAGTTTTGCAATGGCAAAAATATTCAGTTCAATTTTAGAATATTCATCCTTTAATTCCAGCTATCTAATCTACTTCTAGCTCAGTGTCAAATTGCCAACTGACTCTATATTTTCATAGTATAACTGCTCACATGCATTGTTTATTAGCTTTTGGATATAAACCCTCACTATCTATTATAGCATGAGTAGAACTAACAAATTCACTGGGTATCAGAGTAGTCCACTGAGAAACTTTGTGGTATTTAATATCAAGATCTTGGATCTAATTAGGCGTTTGCTTAAAATGTAAGAAAAGTAAGTGGAACTTCAGGCTTTGAAGAGTCTGATGAATATTTCTGGTAAAATCAGAACTATCAGCTTTCTAGATCACTTAAAAAATCTAGAAATAGTTTAGTGAACCAAAAGTCTGTAACTCATCCCAGATTTTTAAACCCAGGCTTTAAAAACATTGAAGTGATTACTTTTAAAGCCTCAGCAACAATAGTGAAAAGATAAGAATCAGTGAAATTATATATTGTGGACAAAGAATTTTTTTTCCCTAAAGAGAAGTCATGGATCATAGATTAAGAATAATACTCTTTGTTCCTGGGGCTTCGTGCTCCCCAAATCACAATAATTAAATTGGTCAAGAATATAAATCTCTCTCTCTCTCTTTGGATCTTAATTAATCCTGTATAGTTTTATTTTCACTTTCAAGACATATATTTAAATGAGCAATTAAAATTGCTTTAATAATAGATTCATCACCTATTATCCGCACAGTATACAGTAATATCTGATAGTGTTGCAGATACCGCATTTGTTGACTCACTGTAATTACAATTATAATGCTTCCTGTAAGAAATTTAAGAACCTTTTAAGTATCTCAGATGGCAAATATGCAGTGTGAATGCCCCTCCTACATCCATAGTGGGCATTGATAATTATTCAAGAACTCCTTCCTGCTGACCCTTGGATAGCACCAAAGACTCTTTGTCAACATCTCCTTGCACTTAGTATTCGTTCAGCAGCAATCAGGAGATCCACAAAGTTGTCTTTAACTGTCTTAAATCTTTAAATGTCTTTAATCTTTAAATGTAACATGATTATTTCTTTTACCTGTTATCGAATGGCTTAATAACAGAAAGTAGAAACTCAATCAACTTTTTAAAAATGATGGATTATTAACCCCCAGTTTCTGATTCATTTGGTTGTAATGGTGGATATAGATCTTGGCATGTTTGGTTGCCCTGATAAGTGAACCAGCATCAAAAGCTTATAGTGGTCCGATTGGCTGCAATAGATGGGATAATGTCCTACATCACTCCCTACTCATCACTTGTAGAGTGAAGCAAGGGTGCATAACCACCACGGTAGTTTAATCTCTGGAGTCCTTTGTAAAGATAAGTCAAAGATGAAGAAGTCGGAATTCTCTTTTCATGTATCTGTGAGCCTCTGCGATCTCAGTAGAAGACAAGGGGCATCTCTCAGTGAGGGCATGTTGGCGTTTGGAGGTGACAGTTCCTCATTGTGCTGTACTGTCCCTTCACATTGCAGTCTGTTCAGGCTCTCCCAGCTGTCTTCCGCAGATCCAGCAGTGCCTCAGTCTCTGTAAAAATCCAGAAGTTCACCAACTTGCATGTCTGGGTTGCAGGCATTAACAAAAAGGAAGAGTTGTGTGATTCCAATAGCTGTGCTCTTAAAGATAAGTGCCAGATGCTTCATAAACAAGTTGGTACATCTAGCCAAAGGTTTTTATCAGGCATATTAGGGTAAAAGCAAGCATCAACCCTGAATGTATGGTGTCAAAACTGGATGTTCTGTGGATAAAGCAGTGAATAATAAAAAATGAGTTCAAATTTATTTTCAAATAAAATTCACCATACTTCTAGGGCTTTGATAGATGAGTCTTTCACATGCCTCCGTGGTTATTTATTTTAAACTGACTCCATACATTCATGCTTTTTCTTATCAAAGAAAGATGCTTACTGCTCTGGTGTGTTGGATGAGTAACCAGTTATGACAAGGAGAGAGAATGGTTTCTATAAGGTTAGTTCTGAGGTACGGCTGAGATACATTTTTGGTTGAGAAAGGATATGGAGGAAAAATAAAGTTTAATGATGGAAACATAACACATTGAATGTATCACTTTTATTTCCTATGTAGCTTTAAAGAGCTAAACAGTCATTGTAACCATGGTGAGGAGTTGTAAAACCACATATGACACAGTCACTCCTCCCTTCTCTGGGATGCTGAGTTGTTCATTGTTCTGTCAGACTCAGGAGCTAAGTGGTTACAATAATAAAGTAATTGGTAATATTTATGGACCTCTGTGTTCATCTTTTTATGTTAATCCCCATGTAACTCTTGTCTGGCTGCCCTCCAGGGGGCAGCCTCTGGTTTGATTCTGCCTCAGCCTTGATGTAGAACTCAGGGCTTTGCAGCATCTCTCCCCAAAGCAAACCTCCTCCGTGAAACACTGAGCAAGCAAGATTGTAATAAAGATTTCACGTGGGACTGAAAAAAAAAGTTTACATCTCACACTGCAGAACAGAGCCAACAATTTAACAATTCCTCATTTGATATTTTTGTTTTCACCTGAAGTTTCTTGTTTAATGATCAAACATTAGGGTTTCTCTCTCTCCTTTCCTGCCTCTTATATTTCTGACATTGTATCAAACAACCCAGCTCTGTCCTCAAATTTGTCAACAATGCTTAGCAAAACAAAAAGCCCTATAATTACTGGCATCCTCCCTTTTTATAAAGTGGTTCAACAACCATCTAAGCTTAAACCGTTGGTCCCTTGGGGATGTAGGCATTAGCTCACGTACCATCCTTGCACGCACACCCTTTAAGTGGCTTATCCAGGTTCTCATCACTGTACCAAAGAAGCTCAAATATTCCACTTCAGCAAATTTTAAGCAAAGTCTTGAATCCTAGCCCTGTAACAAGACTATGGATTTACTCCAGAGAACCTGTCTGAGCAGTAGTTTCTTCTTTTAGAATTTGAGCCTAATGTGACAAAAATGCTTTGAATATTTTGCCCCATTTGATCCTTGCAACGCCTTACCATACAGGCAGGAAAAGTACTGTCCTCAGTTTACAAATCAGAAAATCAGAGAGGTGGAGGGAACTGCTCCAGGATACACAGCTGTTACCTGGAGGAGGATTTGATCCCAGATATCCTGATTTCCATCAAGGGGTCTTTCCACTCTATTCTGCTACTTTTTTGGGTAGACAAATGCAGGTAAAATGTGTGCTAGACATTAAAAGCAGTAATGTCGGAAGCAAACGCCCTAGACTCCAAGCGGAAAAAAGTGGGGAAGCTATTATTTTAGATTTAAAACTGAACTGGAAAAATACCATAGTTCCCTTCGTTTTGTTTTCACAAGAAACAAAGTTTTTAGTCTCATGAAGTTTTATTTTTGCTTTTGTTTCCTTTGCCAAAGGTGACAGACCTCCCCCAGACTGCTAAGACCAGTGTCAAGGAATGTACTGCTTGTTTCCTTCTAGCGGTTTTATGGTTTCAGATCTTACATTTAATCTCTAATCTATTTTAAGTTTATTTTTGTATATGTTTCAAGAAAATGGTCCAGTTTGATTGTTATGCATGAAGCCATCCAGTTTTCCCAACATCATTTAATACAGAGGCTGTCTTTTCCCCACTGTATGTTCTTGTCTCCTTTGCCATAGATGAATTGCCCATGTAAGTGTGGGTTCATTTCTGGGCTTTCCATTGATCTATGTGTCTGTTTCTTTGTGCAAGTACCTTACCATTTCAATTACTATAGCTTTGTCGATAGTTTCAATCCAAGAAGCGTGACACAAACCAGATGAGTTGGAGACGATTGTAGAGTACTTCAGGCTCAAATTAGTAGTAGCCCAAATTGCAGCTTACTTAATGAACACAGAATCAGTGCTGTAACAGATTAAGAAGGCCTCAGACATACGGTAGGTGGCTTTTGATTTGACAAATGCATTTTTATTCAGGTTTGCCCTGGGGCCAGGTTAACTCCGTCACCCCTCACCCTTGGTCATAATAGAGTCTGAAGAAATCTGGACCATTTGGACATCCTGCAGCATGTGATACTGGTTTAGTAAACCAATGGCCACAGACTGATTAGGCAGGGTGAGTAAGAGCTGGTTAGCACACTGGAGACCTTGGTAAGACACACACTCCTAAGGGTGGTAAGCGCCCTATGGAGATTCAAGGACTGGCTATGTCAGTAAAGACTTGGGGGCATTATCAGGGGCATGCTAGGATATCCCCTCTGAAATAAAAGACCTAGCATTGCATCTTGTGTTTCCTGTTACAAATAAGTGAACACAGCACCTGACAGGCCTCTTTGAGTTGTGAAGGCGATAGGATCCAAACCTAGAAATATGGCTATGACCCACATACCTATTTCCAGCGTTGAATGCGGCCAGAAGATGTAAAGGTGCTATAGCAGGTTTAACTCCAAATGGAACCCAGCAGACCTTTTGATGTTAAAATTTCAGGGGTAGAAGAGAGATTCAGGGTAGAATTAATGGCAAGCCCCCGTGGAAGAACCACGACGCAGGCTCCTGGAATTCTAAAGCAGAACCACGCTGTCTGCAGCAGCGCGTTATCCACCTTTCTAGTAAGAGCTTCTGGAGTGTCACTGGGCCCTAATGAAACAGAAAACTTAACCCTGGAGTACCGTGTGACCCTGTGTCCAGAACTGGTGACTGTTAGCAGAGTTTTGTTGAAATTAAATCATTAAAAATCAGTTAGGTCTGGCATCAGTCCATCATAAGAATAAAATGAAATGGTATCTACCCCCCTCAACCCCCACCCAGTAGGAGAACTTTGTGTCTCCTCTCCTGACAGCTCCAGGCTGTGTGGGTTTAGTGACGCTGATTTGTGAAGGGTGCATACTCTCACCAAGGATCCCACGGAAGCACCAGCTATGACTGTACTTTGGATTCTTTATAAGAACCATCTAAAGAGCGGGTGGGCGTAGCTCACTGGTAGAGTGCATGCTTGGTGTGCATGAGGTCCTGGGTTCAATCCCCAGTACCTCCATAAAAAAGTAAATAGATAAATAAATAAACCTAATTATCTCCCCCCACCAAAAGAAATAAAAATAAATAAATAAAAGATTTTAAAAAAAGAATCATCAGAGTCACTATTTTGGGAGAAATGATTGCTTCTGATAAACAGGAGCAGGTAGGGTTGCTTATGGAGGTGGGGAGTAATGTACGTGGGCCTGGTTGATCCAGTTGGACATCTCGGTTCTTCCTCACCAGTTGTACCTACCCATGCCAATCATAGCTCCCACGCCAGTTGTAACCGTAACACATCAGCAACCCTGGTCTAAGAAGGGTCCAGGGCCCACTTGAGAATGAGGGCTTGGATCACACCACCTGGTAAGTTCCCAAGACCTGCAAAGGTGATAATTGAGAGAGGAATTTAGAGTCGATGATGGAGGAGGGGGAAGGTGAGAACCTGAAGCAATGGGTGCTGTATTTCATTCTGCGAACTCCGCTCTTCTAAATTTCCTCTCAGGTAGAGAGGCATGAGAATCATAAAGGAGCCTCCCTTGGTTATGTATAGATGTGTGGGTCTTTGCAGTGCAAGGAGTGGACTGGAAGCCAGGGACGGCGCATTGTTCAGATCTCTAGGAGGGCCTACAGCAAAGACGATTGTTGGAAGGCGTCTCCAGGTCTTCTGCAGAGTTAAAGCTGAGTCATGTGCTCCCTAGGGGTGCTTCTAGCCAGTGACTGGGCATACTGGGGAGACCACAGCCAGATTATTCCATTCCACCCTCCTCAGGCGGAGTTCCATGCTTCCTCTGCTGGTCCCCTGTTGTACCTTCTAGCTTCTTTTGTTACTATATGCATAGCAACACTCTTGCAAATGTGGGGAAAATCTGCATGAAGGTAAAAATAACTGTTGTTAATATTTTGATATGTTTTCCCAGTCTTTGCATTTTGATGTATTGTTCCTAATTTTTTGTTGCCCATATATGAATTTGTACACAAGTGTTAAATGAGTGTTTTTCATCTGACATCTACAGTTTCATGCCATGCTGATTTTCACTTAACCTCAGATACTGAACATTTTACTGTTCAATGTTGTTTATCTTCAATTTTTTAATTTATTGAAGAAATTGTGAGATATTGCATTTGAAAGAGTAACTTTGAAAGGAACAGGAGTTATTAGAAGGGAAAGATATTTTAAGACTAAAATAAATTGGAAAATAGGTAAGGATTGGAGTGGAGCGAACAGTGATGTCCTGCCACTTCAGTGCTAGTGCCTTGAGGAGGAAAGACATGAAAAGGGGTGGCCATACGATGTGCCTATGGGTGCTGGACTGTGCTTCACCCTTCTTGGCCTTGGGAAAGATTCCTGTTTCAAACAGATAGTTCAGAGCAAAGACCTTCTGGCCTTTTAGATGCTGTAGGCTTCGAAAGGAGGGTGTCCGTAGTGGGCATCGTGGACAAGAGGCTGGAGATCCTTCCTCTTCTGTACAAGCACCACTTCTTTGGATTCATACTGTCTTGGGAGATATAGACTGAAATGGAGTTTCTTGTCAAGTGAATGATTTGACAAGGTCAGATTTAATTTGACTAAAATAAAACAAAGGGACCTATTTTGCAAACTTGCATTTAGAGACCAGGACTGATACCCACTGTAATCTTAATCTCTAAACCAGTCCTGCTACCTCCTAAACCAAGGTCCCCCTTTATAGACCTCCTGCTACCTCCAGTCTGATCCCCAACCTTGAAAACGTTTTACTCTTATTTCTACAGTTCTGTAAGTTACATTTCTCTTAACCCCTTTACAGCTCTTCACAAGTAACTTGTATGGTAAAGATATTTATTATTAAACAAAAGATAAGATACCTACATTAATTTAAGTATATTCTTATTTTCAATCCATTAGATTTCCTAGAATTGTGTGTGTTGGATGGAGGTGGTGGTGGGAGGGAGAGATTTAAGCTTATTATTCTCCTCTTGGCATAAGTCTGTCTCCCAGACTAATCTTCCTTTTAGCTAGGGTAAGAAAATCATTGTCCAAAGCAGTGGCTTATTGAAGTTGCATAAAATGATCAGAGAACCTGGGGTGAACAGCAGCCTTCCTCCTGGGACTGTACTTGGGCAGCACACGCAGTCCCGATTCAGTCCGTGTGTTGGCTGAGCACAAGGATGCTCTGATCCCACGCTGGGAGTCCAGCTCTCTGTCCTCTGGGAACGCTGTACACACCATCTCTAAGACTTTACGAGACGAAGGCACACATGAAATTCAGTCCATTTGCCCAAAGAGACAACAGAGAGAGATGGAGAGAACGAGGGCTGAGATGAGATGAATCTAGGCAGAACACCTAGCAGTGAAGCCTTGAAATTGCTACCTACACTCTCAACTCTACTATCTTTACTTGTAACATGAGAATAATCACATTTATCTTGTAGGGTTCGACAGTCGTAAAAGTAAAGGAGACAAAAAGATAATGAAAAAGCTAAAGGGCCAAGTGCAGACGCATAGTATATAGATAATAATCATTCAGAATTAAGGGATAGTCATCTTTAAGAAAATAGTAATAGTAATAATAACATGTTGAAAGTTGACTGTATGATAGATACTGTGGTGAGCGCTTTACAATCACATGAATTCCGTGAGATAAGTCTATTATTGCATCGGTTTCACAGATTAGGAACTTGAGGCGCAGAGAAGTTAAATAATTTTTCTGGTACCCCAGAGCTAATAAGACTTCAAGCCCAGATACTCTGCCTCGAGAGCTATGCTGTTAATACCACGCCAGGTAGTAATGCCTCCTCCTTTCACAGAAAAATAACAAGTAGAAAGGAGTTAGATTATCTAAGAACATTAAAACCATAAAAAGACTTCAGTACACCTGATCTTCAATTTAGCATTCAATGGAAGCTCTTCCTTTGAAGCCCAAAGGGAATATTGAAATGCACTTTGGATTTGGAATTATAAGACCTGTGAACATTTTCCAGTTTTAGCACTTACTGTAAGTCACTTAACACATTTGAGTTTCTTCATATATGAAAGGAAATAATCTTCACTTTGTTGAGAGGCATGAATGAGGAAGTAGGCATGAAAGTATTTTATGAATGTAAATGCTTCACTAATGTTAGTTGCCATTAGTAAATGAGTATAATTTTACACTGTTTTAAAAAATCCAAAATTGGAAGAAGAATTACAATAATTTTCTCTTCTATTTGAAAAAAGCATCAAATTATTTTTATTGCACTTCAGTATATAATATATAACCAATTCAAAATTATGTCTGAATACCTAAATTCCTAGAACCATTTTAATATTAGAAGATTCATGAGGATGAAGATTAAGAATGATGCCACCAAGAAATGATTTTTCTTTATTTTTATAGGATGTTTCCCGTGAAAGGATGCGAAGCAACAGGTATCCAATATTCTGAAGGGTACCTAGGAGATTCACTAGGATGTATTATCATGTTCTGCTTCATATTCTTTTGGAGTACATAAAAATGGGCAAAATGAGAAACATGGAGACCTTTTGGAAAGAAACTTGCATCATCATCACTATAATCAAGAATGTGAGGTGATGTATTTTTTCATCATTTTTTTCATTTATTTATTCAGTCGTGTTAGACATGCTCTGCCCATTGCCCTGCACTAGGTGTTGAAGGAGGTGCATCTAGAAACATTCAATCTGCTTAAAAATACAGGATATACACATGTGAGGTAAATAACATTGTAGAAGCGTGTATCATTAATTGACAGAGTAAGTGACGTAACTAGCAGGCACAGAGAGAGTTCATAGCAGGGAGTAATCAGTGTGAACAGGGCAGTCTGGGAAATCCTACAGGAGTGAGCACAGAGACTGGAGGTCAGGAATGACTCTGGCTTTGCAGTTTTCTTGGCAGGAACATGGTGGGTTAAGGATAAGGAACATCCAGCCAAATAATTCAACAAGTGGAGTGTGTTTGATTATACAGAGCTTTGAAGATAGGCTGAGGAACGTGAAATACATTCCGAGTGGCCGTAGTGTGAAAGAACAGAACCCCCCACCCACTCAGAAGTCAGCCTTCCACAGTAGAAGGTAACTCTTCAGGGCTGTGTGAGCTCTAGATCCTAAATATGTTACAAAAAGAGTTCTCCTTTAGGTATCACCTTTAGCTGACAGTGGCTTTATACACATAGGCGTGCTTGCTTTTCATGTAACAGAAAGGCCACAAAGAGACATAGGCAGTCAAGGCTGGTATGAAGATACAGCGATGCTACCAGGACTTGGCTCTGTCTCACTGTTCTGCCGCCGTACCATGAGACCTTTGTCCTCAGGATGACAAGGACAAGATGATAGATGCCGTATTGCCAGACAAGCAGGAAGAAGGGGAGAGGGCAAATGAAATGGGTAAAAACACGTGCAATGAGAATCTGCCACTTAAAAATGCTTTTTCCTGGAAATTCCACCCACTTAATCCCTGCTCACAGTAATGGGCTAGAATGAGGTTATAAGGGCAGTCAAAAGTGACAGTTTTAGCTGGACAAGCTACTGCTAAAAGCAAAGTTGAAGGTTATTTGCAAGGAAGAACAGATATATATATATATAAAATATGAGTGTCTTCTCATTGGGAGTTCGGATCAAAAGGCAGTGGTGATGATGTGAAATATTTTAATATCTCTTTTTAAAATGTGTCTGTTTTATGTGGTAACTCTTAGAAAATAGGTGAAAAAAAGCCCAAGTGGATTTTTTTCTAGTTCTCGCAACTGGATAGTTTGTGGATAGTCCTTCCAGGTTCTCGTATTACCTGTATCAGTCTAACTTTTCTCTTTTCTCCTGTCTTTTTCTGACACTTCAAAATCTATATTATGACCTGGGAAAGGGACCATCAGGGCTTGGCACCTGGTTTCTGGCTGGCTTGTAAAATCCCCTGTGATGTGCTGAACACCATGACCTCCTCCAGGAACTTGAGCATCCTAGTGAATCCACTGTCTCTTCTTGTTTAGACTGCAGGGATCTCTGTTCTGTTCTTGAAGCAGAGAATTGATTTCCTTCCTCAAACTCAGGTTGACCGTCATCAACTTTCTGCAAGTATCAGCGAGGCTGGGTGTGTTTACTGGCTCCTTCTCTAGCCGGGCACTCTTTAAAGTTGTCTCCATCCTGGCACACTCCTGTTTAGACAGACACACAGAGCGTGTCGATGAGGTGGCATTTGTCCTCAATCTGTGCAGCCAGTGTTTTTGCCAGTTTCTTTTCACATCTTCCATTAAGTTGACTTCTAACAGACTGAGTAAGTCTGAAAGTAAATACGACACCCACCAGTAAGCTGAGGACAGGCAGACTCGACACTGTCTCCCGGGGGAGGCTCTGGAACATGGACTGAGAACAGGCCGTTGGGGAGCCACAAAACCAGGGCTGCACTCAGCGTCCTAAGGATCAGCCCAAAGCCAAGCTCCGTAGAGGGCGGCAGCCCCTCCATGGCTCTGACCCACCCAGGGCTCTGCACGGTTACCGTGGAGCCACCAGCCACAACAAGCCCCAGGGGACACCCCAGCATTCCACCTGGAACCCAGCCAGCAGCTGACTATCTGGACTGGCCAGTTACCTGGTCAGTGTTGGTGGGGAGGTGGGGAGGTTGCAGAGGAGAGGGTTATAACTAAAATGTGAGTCTCTCCATTACTGTCTGATGGTAATTTTTCTTAACTCTTTATGTGTTTATATCAATATAAAATAAAAATATAGTGAAATGTGTCGAAAAAAAGCTATATTATGAGAAAGGTGGGAAAAGCTGCGCTAAGAGATGCCAGCCAGATGCTGTTTTAAACCAATATTTCATAATTTCTCAGGTTTAACTGAATATTTTCCTTCTCTGTTTGACCTAAACAGAGTAGAATTTTAAACCTCATTTATGGATTTTGTTTTAATGTGAGTTCTTATTTCTGGTTTTATTACCTCTTGCTTAATTTGTTTCTAGAGGTTCTTTTTCCCTCCTTATAGATATTTCCAAGCATGTTTTCTCTAGTCTTACACGTAGTAAGCCTAGCTGTTTTATCACTAGAAATTCTCGTACGTCTGCTGTCTCAAGTCTTTGTGAGTTCGTTGCATACGCCTCGTACTTCTGCTGGTTCTTGGCCTGTATGGGCTACTCTCTGGGCCATGTGGGTGGTGTATATTCAGGCCACACATCTCCACAAGAGCTATTTTACTTTCAGTTCACCCTTCCTCTGAAGATGGAGCCCTTTGGAAGACAGGTCAGACCTTGGCTAGTTTGAAGTGGATTAATTGCCTTGGGCTAGCTTTGGCTTTTGTACTCCTTCCCTGCAAATCCCTCAAAACCCACTTTGCAAAATGCCTTCAGGGGAAAAGGGGGCCTAGAAAAGTAGGCTTCCTCTTTTGAGCCTCTAGCTTGGGGTGAAATCATTCCTTCCTTAGCTCTTTGATACTTTCAAGATAATTTTTTTTTCTTTTTTCTTTCTTTTTTTTTTTAGTTGCCTTCAGTGAGATGGTTAGTCCAAATTGCCATGACCACCTTTACCAGAAGTTAAAATCCTATTTCTCTTTTATAAGCCTTTCTTTTTCTCCCTCACTCCATTTCTCTTTTCCTCCAACTCTTCCTTTTTCCCTTCCTTCCTAGTTTTGAAAAATGTTGATTTAGCACCTACTATTCTAGTCACTTCTTGTATTATTGTTTATACTTACTTGACATGTGTATTCATGATGTCTTTTATTTTGAACATGTTTGTGACTTTGTTTTTGCGGTTGTAAGAAGCATATGGATTTTTATTCTTTAACCCAGTATGGCTTGTTTTTCTTTAAGAGGTCTATCATTTTATATTTTGTGTCATAATACTCTGCTGTGAGTTGGGAGGCAAACATAGTTCTTCCATTCTTAGCCATGTGTTCTTGTGCAAATTAATTAACCCTCTTCACTCTCATTTTCTTCATCTCTTTAATCATTGTCTTCATCTCTTTAGTAAGCATAATAAATGTAATTTCTTCATAGGATTTCTCTGAGAATTAAAATAGTATATTTAAATATTGTAACCACACTGTGTATAAGATCAACATATTCAATCTGTTATTCTAGCTATCAGTTTTATTAATTATAAGATTAACTCACTTACACTTATTATAATTGATATGTTTTCCTTTATTTTTGTCATATTTTTTATACCTTTAAACATATTTTTGATATCTCTTTGTTTCCTGTCTTTTGTTTAATACACACACAGTGATTTATAGGAACTAATTCAGAGTTAAAGCCTACCAGTGGTTTACATGTAAAACACACATAATTAATAATGTATTATAATACACAATTAAATGAGTATATTTTAAGTAATTAACTGATGGAATTAGAAGTGTAATAATGTGGGGTCTAAATTTTAAATGCTTAGAAAGAGATACAGAAAATTTCTATCCTTGTTTTCTGGCCACGTAATTCCTCTTTTCAAAGTTAACTCACTTTTTAGTTTTCTTATCAGTTAATATATTATTTTATGTATTTTTAATTGTATATCTATAATTTTTACACATATATATTTTACACATTTTAATTATCTATAACGTTTACACATATATTATTACACATTTTACACATATTACAATGTGTGAATTTTACACATTTATTTCAGTTATATGGGTCAGTTTTTCTTCTCTCCCCCCTTTTACACAATCATATACTGCATACATTTTTCTGTTTTATTTAACATGCTACATCTTGTTACATATTAACATAAAAGAACATCCTTGTATCATTTTTTACAAATTCTCTGAATACTATCATATGGATAGATCATAGTTTATTTAAACTGTTTGCCTATTTAAGGTCATTCAGGTTTATCCCAATCTTCTCCTATACAAACTATGTTTCAATAAATAACTTTATACATCTGACATCTTTCATATATGGAAGCTAATTTTAGGTAAAATCCCTACAGGTGGAACTGCTGCATCATGGGACATGAATATTTGAAATTTTTAAAATATATTTTATTGACATGTTGTCAGTTTACAATGTTGTGTCAGTTTCTGGTGTACAGCACAATACTTGAGTCATGCAGGAACATATATATATTTGTTTTCATATACTTTTTCACCATAAATTACTACAAGGTATTGAATATAGTTCCCTGTGCTATACAGTATAAACTTGTTGTTTATCTATTATATATATAGAAGTTAGTATCTGCAAATCTCGAACTCCCAATTTATCCCTTCCCATTCCCTTCCCTGCCTGGTAACCGTAAGTTTGTTTTCTGTGTCTATAAGTCTGTTTCTGTTTTGTAAATAAGTTTGTATATCTTTTTTTTTTAAGATTCCACATATAATTGATAGCATATGGTATTTTTCTTTCTCTTTCTGGCTTACTTCACTTAGAATGACATTCTCCAGTTTCATCCATGTTGCTGCAAATGGCATTATTTTATTATTTTTATGGCTGAATAATATTCCATTGTATAAATATACCACAACTTCTTTATCCAGCTATCTGTTGTTGGACATTTAGGTTGTTTCCATGACTTAGCTATTGTATATAGTGCTGCTATGAACATTGGGGTGCACGTGTCTTTTTGAATTAAGGTTCCCTCTGGATA